CCCAAAAAGAGTGTGCAATGTTTATGTATCCTGTAACATGATTTAAGTGGGAGGCGACCTAACCTCCTCTAGGAGGGTCCGGGGGCATGCACCCCCGGGAAGATTTTTTTTAAAAATATTGAAGTTAAAAGCATCAATCTGGATGCACTTTAGACAACAATGGAAGAAGAATCTATGGGTACATGTCTTTCCAACACCCATTATGAAACAGAACTGTAAGCAGATTTTTCTGTTATGGGATATTTTACAAATCACTCACCCTTTTAAACTCTAATTCTTGTATAAAGACTTTTTGTTACTGTCATATAGTAATTTATATTATAACCTTGTTTTTCATCTTAGTCTTGTCCATTTAATTATGATCATAATCAGGTGTGCTTAACTCCATGAGCTGAGTTTTTGAGCCTGCTCAGAGAGAAGAGCTCTCTTCCACCGTGGTTTGTAGAAGCTATTTTTAAAATTCGTTTAGCATAGCTAGCTAATCAATGTAATAAACAACAGATCGCCACTGTGCTTACAACTAAAGACACAACCAACGCAAACATCACTGCGGCATGTGTACGGCTCCTTATGGGTACTGCAATATTTGAAGAGCTGGAGCGTCGTTCCGGTGCTCTCCGTAAGCACTCTAGTCTAGTCTACACTCCTTCAGAACGAGACATAACCAGGGGTGAAGACACGTTTACGCTCGGTGTTGTGTTCAAGAAAACCTGTCCTTGGCCCAGGAAAAAAACAGGCACTCGCTTTGTTTTAATTATTTTGCGATCTAGTATTTCTTCTTCCTGTTTGAAGTGAGAAAGTTGTCCCGTCAGTCGGATGGCAACGTAACGACGGACTGACGGACGGACCCCCCTCCCCCCCCAAAAACGAAACTCTTCGGTTCTCCACGAATTACACAAGTCACCCAAAGCAGCGTTAAAAAAGCGGAGGCGCCGAAAAGCGACTAATTTGCATCACTGTGTATGATAACAACCTGGTACTAAGCCACACAGGCCAATATTGTTAAAGTTATCTTATCTTTAGTCTATCTCTCATTTAGTGGAGGGAAAACAATTGTGACATCAAGTTATGACATCACTTACGCGACTTTGGGATTTTGTAGTCTTCTAGTTGCATATTTTTCATAGTTCTTATATTTCAACAGTTCTTACGACAAACTGTGACTTTTTTTGAAATGGAAATTATTTTTTAAGATTGACAAACATCATGTGTAATTCATGGCACAATTAAAACGGGATCGAAAGATACGTTTTCTCTCTCCATTGACTTCAATACATAATTTTTCTGAAATAAGGTCCCATGGACCGGAAGTAGATGGGCGTGACTTCACCACTCTATTGAGATGAGCCTTCTGTGTGTCAGCTGTTGCCACAGCTGTTGTTTATGCAGTGGGGTCAGCTGACTCTCAGGGAACACCACAGAGATGCACCCACAACACATCTTCACTGCCGATTCTGACTACCAATGACACAAGATCACACAGCCTTATGGCCACTGTAAAGAAATGATAACACTCATACACTGCAAAAAAACGTGTATTTGTCTTATATCTAGACAGAATAAGTCTTTACACTTGATAGAATAAATGAAGAAGTAAGAATGCAGTGAGATATGGGTCTTGTTTTTAGACAATGCATCTTAAGTATCTTGTTAAGTCAAAGACTCTTGAAAACTCTTATTTTCAGTTGTATCTCAGATGAAACGTTATTTAAAAATCGCCAAATAACATTAGAAAACAGAAAACTTTGAGTATTCTGGCTTATTTTGTAACACATTTCCTGATTCTGGTAAAATATAGTTCAAATAAGTTTTCCCAGTTAATTACAAGATCTGATTCATCTAAATGTACCATCGTATTTCAAGAAATGTTATCAAACCAATGTTCACTTGTTCTATTGGCAGATTTTTTTGTTTTACTTACAACAAGCGAAAACACCTTGTTTTCATTATTTACTTGTTTTTGGAGCAGCATTTTGTACATTTTTGGATGAATAAAGAAGAAAAGCTTGTCTTGGTTTATGTCTAGCAGTTTACACCGGGTTATATTTGACCATTTATTATCAGGGCGGTCTCCTTAGCAAAAGTTGCATCCAACAACCAGTCAATCTATTGTTAGAGATCTTGTAATGCTTAAATTCTCCAAAATGGCTGCCTGCAAAAACTATGCAGTTACATGTACCTACCCTAGCCCTACCTTATATGACCCTACCCTCTCTCTGCTTAGCATTTTTCTGAGCTTTAACAACATCCCTAGGTGGCTAAGAGCTAGCGGTGCTAACAGCAAAAAAACAGTGCAAACCCTGGAAAAAAGTGTCGACAAAGCTGGCGTTGTAACCTAAAGGGGAACCAGAGGGTGAGAGTTCAGCATCTTTGACAACACCATCAGTGGGGACAGAGTCATTAGCAGGAACCGCGGTTTAAACGCAGCACAGAGCCTTTAGCTAGCAACACACAGGATTCAGATATGCAAGTGGATTCCAACAAAGCAGGACTCACTTTCCCATAATGCACAGCCAACTAATTGCTCTTTTACTAGGCAGTCCTCGTGGGAAAAGGTATTGAATGTTTATTTGTTTAGGGACAAGTATGTAGCATAAACCAATGCCACACACCACAACATTTATAGCCTAAGCTAATTTGCAATGCCCGTCTCTAGTTAGGCCTATAAATTACATACAACTTAACAAATACACAATAGTCACAAAACACAAATTCAATGATAGAAGAAAGAAGAAACAAATATTAAGAGAGAGAAAACGCTAAAAAAAGAGGAATGCAAGAAAAGAGAATTAGTGAAACAGAGTACGTTTTGGAATTTGACTTGGTTCATGTTATTCAGGGTGGTTCTGTGGTTTAGCAGACTGGAGCGTCTCAACAGTGCGCAGGCGAACCTGTGACAGTGGTCTGATATGCAAAGAGAACAAAGCATTATCACTCATTGAGTATGGTTTCCCTAGGGGGATTCATAAAGCTTCATCTTCTTCTTATTCTGGTCTTGACAGATAAAGTCAACTTTCTTATCAAAGTTAAGAAATAAATATTTCTCAATGTCCCAAAGAAAAAATATATTAAAATAGATACATATATGTATGTATATTTAAGCAATAGCTCACAACAGGCCGTGGTATATGCTCATTATATCACAGCTAAGGGGCGTGGTTCGGCCCGACGCGAAGCGGAGGGTCGACAACCCCCTTAGCTGCAAGCAGTTTGCTTTTCAACCCAACGGTATACTGTTTTTCTCAAGACGCGGAGGGATACTGACTTGTTGTGAAAAGTAACTTACAATTCTACCCGTGGTATACGCTCAGTATATCACGGCTAAGAACCAATCAGATTGCTTGATTTGACTTGTCCGTTTTATAAATACATATATATGCAATATATACATACACACAAAAAAACACAACAATAAATATATACAAATATTAATGAATATTAATAATTACTTTTTGTTCCTAATAATTAATCTAAGTGAGATCACTTTTAGATACAGTTAAAGAACCAGTACCAAAACATTTAGATGGTGTGTCAAGAGTCAAGATGTTACCAGTCAAACACAGTACTTGAATCAGCCTGAGAAATGCCACTATGCTAAAATTGTGCCTCTGCCGCCCTCTATCGGACTGCAGTGTGTAATAACATGTCAATTAAAGGATAATACCTCAGCATTTCAGAAAAGGGTTGCCAGTGTTTATTTAGACTCAACGGTCTCAGTGTCGTAAAGTAGTCTATTTTATATGTATATATATATAATTGAAGTCATTAAACTCATTACACATATAATATATATATATATATATATATATATATATACAGTGGAGGAAATAAGTATTTGATCCCCTGCAGATTTTGTAAGTTTGCCCACTTACAAATAAATTAACAGTCTATACTTGTAATGGTAGGTTTATATAAACAGTGAGAGTAAGAATATCAAAAAGAAAAACCAGAAATTGACATTATATAAAAGATAAAAATGTATTTGCATTTAACTGTGGGAAATAAGTATTTGATCCCTGTAATGGCCAATTGTCCAAAAGAAAATTAATGTTCAAAGGCCACTTAGTCTAGGAGGCGAGTTCGAGTATTGATTTGCGTATTCAAGAAATCAGGTACCTTGCTCGTTCCATTCAGGTGCTTTATTGAGAGGTTCAATAGATCAGCTGGCGGCCCACTGCCGACGTGCAACATTTGCACGTTATTTAAACAAATAAACAAACAAGATCCCTCGATCATACGGATGTGTGCGGTCAAAAACCTTTTCCAACTTCCTCTCTAGACATCCTGCTGTGTCATGCTGGCAGCGTCCTTTATACCTGAGCACGCCCCTACGATCGCTTTCTATAAGTAATAACAAAACATAAACTAGAGCTGTCCATAAGCAAGATATCACGTTACAAAAACTGTATAATAATAATTCATAGTTATTCAGCTCATTTAAGTTAAATTAAAGAATTATTCAATTGGCTCATAAAACCATAATTCATTACCATAAAATAATGTTCCTAAATGGCTCTTACAATTCCCTTGCAAACAATAATTCTGTCTCCCAAAGACCGGTTACATAAGTCATCTTCCTTTAAGAAAGTACTCCTAATATCATCTTTACCTGTATAAAAGACACCTGTCCACAGAATCAATCAATCAGATTCCAACCTCTCCACCATGGGTAACACTAAAGAGCTGTCTAAGGACCTCAGGGACAAGATTGTAGACCTGCACAAGGCTGGGACTGACTACAAGGCCTCAGAAAGCAGCTAGGTCAGAAGGAGACAACTGTTGGTGCGATTATTCTGAATTATAATGTGTGTGTTTCTAAATGGAAGAAACACAAAACACTTGCCTCACCCCTTGGGGTATTGATGATCATGAGAAAGGTGAGGTATCAACCAAGAACTACACAGGAGGAACTTATTAATGATCTCAGGGCAGCTGGGACCACAGTCACCAAGAAAACTATTGGTAACACACTACACCATAATGCATAAAATACTGCACAGACCGCAAGGCCCCCTGGCCCTGCTCAAGAAGGAACATGTACGAACCGTCTGAAATTTGACAATGAACATCTGAATGAGTCAGAGAAAGCTTGGGAGAAGATGATGTGGTCAGATGAGACCAAAATCACAATATTTGGCAACAACTCGACTCGCTGTTTTTGGAGGAAGAGAGATTCTGACTATAACCCCATAACATCATCCCCACCGTCAAGCATGGAGGTGGAAACATTATGCTTTGGGGTGTTTCTCTGCTAAGGGGACATGACGACTTCCCTCCATCGAGGAGAGGATGGACGGGGCCCATGCAGTTGTGAAAATCTTGGCCGATAACATCCTTCCCTCAGCCAGGACACTGAAAAGGGTCATGGATGGGTCCTCCAGCAGGACAATGACTCTGAACATACGGCCAAGGCAACACAGGAGTGGCTAAAGAAGAAGCACATTTAGGTGAGGGAGGGGCCTAGCCATTCTCCGGACCTTAATCCCAAATCAAATCTGGAGGGAGCTGAAGCTACGAGAGGCCAAGCATCAGCATCAACACCTTCAGGATTTGGAGAGGATCTTCAGAGAGGAGTGGACCACAATCCCTCCTGAGATGTGCTCAAAACCTAGAGACCAACTACAAGAAGCGTCTGACCTCTGTGCTGTCCAACAAGGCTTTCTCCACCAAGTATAAGAAACGTTTTGCAAGGGGATCAAATAGTTATTTCACACAGTTAAATGCAAATACATTTGTATCTTTTATATAATGTTAATTTCTGGATTTTCTTTTTGATATTCTCTCACTTTTTATATAAATCTAAAATTACAGACCGGTAATTTCTTTGTAAGTGGGTAAACTTACAAAATCTGCAGGGGATCAAATACTTATTTCCTCCACTGGATATATATGTTTGTGTATTTAATGTGTATAATGAGTTCAATTGACTATTTAAGTTTGGAAACCATAGGTTTGAGTTTTGAGTTAAGATTTGCTCCAAAGAAATATAGCACTCAAACGATTGATAAAAAAACATTTATTCCTGGTATTATCACCAACCAGAGAAGTTTTACTTCTGAGAAGTGGACTCAGAACACCCCAAATCGCTTGTTTTCATACGACATCCTGTGTCTGTGTGCAGACTGTGCTGCAGAGCTGGACGGTCGTGGAGACATGACTGAACCACTTCCTGAACCTGCCACAGCAGACACAGAAGAAATGCTGTAATTCAGCAAAAGGCAGCCCTGTTCGCTGAATCTTTGTACTGTTTTAAGCATCAATCTTTCTGGGTAAAGTAAATAGTTGGGGTGGTTACTTAGTTTTTAACACAGTTGATTTTGAAATATCTGTATCTTGTGTTCAGGGGATTTTCCTTTGAAAGAGTGGTCAATTCATCATTTATACAGGTTATGAAGTCTCTTGGTCAGTTTTTCTAAAGTCGTCTTGATTTTTATCTAAATACACTGCGATTAATTATGCTTTTAACTTCATTACCTGCAGGAGGTTCTTCACGGTCATCTGTGTCTCCTGCTGGTTAACACTCAGCTTCAGCTCCTTTCCTGCTTCAGGCGGGTCTTTTGACGAACTCGCTGTGTTCTCATTGGTCAGAGTCATCTTTAGGAGCTGCTCACTCAGTCTAAGAGAACAAAGCAAGAAACACTTGTCAGATATACTGATGGTAACATGCCCAATAGAGTGGTGCATGAATGAGTCCTAAAACCCCGCAATGGGATAGCATTTTAGGAGTTCGTTTCCTCGTCTCAAAGTCAATGATATTTTGGACGTGTTTGTGGTTAGATTGTGACAGTTTGACTTACTTTTTTATGTGTCTTTATTTACTTTTTTAGGGGGCCAGTCAGGTCTCTCTCCTGACATATAAGATGTGGATAGTCTCAGTCGGTTTTAGTAAGTCTGTACGGCACAAAGGTGTATACATCTCACTGCAAACACCCAACATTGAATGACATTAGAAAAATACTTAAAGACACAACTCACAATTCTAATCACAAACAGCAAGTGTATTTCGAATACCCCACAAAGAATTAAACAATCGTTCTTCCCACAGTTCACTTTTAAATACAAAATGTTCCACTTCTGGTTTTCTTCAAAATAAATAAAACAGTCAATGGGAGAATGTCAGTCATTTTAGTCAATCCAGTCGGTTTGGGAAATCCAGTCCTGGTTTTCAAGGTGGTTGGGAGATGACCGGCTCCAGCGCCATATAGAGAGAAAAAAAAAACCATTAAAACCATTTAGTGCTTCACATAATAAAATACACAACGGCTGTAGCCTGTTTTAGGAGCTGTAGGTGTGTGTGTGTGTGTGTGTGTGTGTGTGTGTGTGTGTGTGTGTGTGTGTGTGTGTGTGTGTGTGTGTGTGTGTGTGTGTGTGTGTGTGTGTGTGTGTTAGTGTGGTGTAGGTGTGTGTGGTACAGTGTGTGCGTATGCAGCGGACAGACAGGTTGGTTTGGTGTCCTCTGCTTACTTTTAATACTTGTAAATAAAACTTTTGGCCCGTAATTTATTTTCCTCATTGTAGCGACCAGAGAGGGGAGAGGGGGGGATATATCCAGTCTCTGATAGTGTTACGTTATTATGAGAGTGCTCTGTTTGATTCTGAAATTGTATATATTTATATAAATATATACATATATATATGTGTGTGTGTGTGTGTGTGTGTGTGTGTGTGTGTGTGTGTGTGTGTGTGTGTGTGTGTGTGTGTGTGTGTGTCCGCATCTGTAACCTGTTATTGTCTCATTAAACCGCACTGTGAATGAATTAAAAGTAAATATATAAGTCGTCACACATTTGTCCATCTGCTGTGCCTCCTGTCATCATGAATGGACGTCTCTTTAAAATGACCGCTCAGAGGAGAGGAGTTCTCATTTCTCTAACCGCCTGCTGCTTCCCCTCCTCTCTCCTCGG